GTACAGATGTAGATTTTAAGCAGAGGTTACTTCATGAACATCAGCAAAAAGGCAGGGAGCCATGGGACAAGTACAAGGATCTGTACATGGTGGTAACAGTTGAAATGTAGGCTGTATAAAGACAAATACTGGAGAGAAAAAAGATTACTGGCAGAATGTGAAGAGGCTAAATGAAGTTTTAGAGCAGAGGAGTGCTTCAGTAAAGTAAAAGGAGCAAAAAGAGGCTTGCGATGGATGTACATGTTAGGATGAAAAAGTATGAATGCCTGATTCAGACTGCAGCAGCAGGAATGGAGAAGAAAGGTGCTGTATGGAACCATTTCCGCAGTAGCGAAAGACGTAGCATGGAAAGAGTCAAAGCTAATGTAGAGGCCAAAACCTAGGCAAGTAAAGAAATACTGGAGAATATATGACAAAGTTCAGAGACAGATGAAAAGGGTTAAGTAGAATGGAAATGTCCTGCAGGAAAGTGAAAATGTTGAATTGAAACTTGGGAAAGAGGTCAGATCTGTATAAATACTTGGAAAAAATTTTTACAGACATGGAAGGTGAAGTTTTAAAAATGAACATAAGATTGCTGAAAAAAGGACTCAGTGAAAGAAGACAATTCTAAGTGCTGATCCATGTAAGGTACCAACATTAATAGATAATAGGAAAAAAAATGAGAGAAAGTGTGATTGGAGAGATACCAGGAGAACTGGGTGAGCACAGTGGTTCTATATAATTATATACATGCACATACTTATGTGTATACTTTAGTTCTTGATCTGAAGAATCACATAAATTGATATACAGCAGGGTTTTCTAAAGTGTGTTCCAAAAAAACATTAGTTTTGGGGCGCCTGGGTGGCACAGTCGGTTAAGCTTCCGACTTCAGCCAGGTCACGATCTCACGGTCCGTGGGTTCGAGCCCCGCGTTGGGCTCTGGGCTGATGGCTCAGAGCCTGGAGCCTGTTTCCGATTCTGTGTCTCCCTCTCTCTCTGCCCCTCCCCCGTTCATGCTCTGTCTCTCTCTGTCCCAAAAATAAACGTTGAAAAAAAAATTAAAAAAAAAAAAACAAAAAACATTAGTTTTAGTAGCTGTTAAAAGGTACTTCATGATCAAAACAGGACTCAGTTATTCAGAAGATGGGGATAAGATGGTTCTTTATCTCCTGTAGAATTCAAAGAGTACATCATACTGACCCATAAACCCTTTTTGTTTTTTTATCTTCTAGATACAGCAGTATCTAGCAGTAACAGTAAGTCACCTTGAGAAACAAGGATAAATAGTAAAATTTGAAGATTCACATAATATTAAAACTGGAAAGGAAAGCTCTGATCATTTCATCCAATCTTTTCACTTTATAGGTGAAGAACATTAATTATATGATATACTACTGTGGGTGGTAAAGAATACATGTGGATATGAAAGCATATGAACAAGAGAGAGACAAAAAGGTAAGTGAAAAATAGAAATTACAGCTTTAAAAGATACAATATTAGTTACCATTCGAGGGATAATTTGCTTTATGTTTAGTGTTTTAGAACATTTCACAGTGTTATCCTAAGGGTTATATGAAGTTCAATAATCACTCATCAGACAAAAGAAGAAACTGAGGCCTAAGGTTAATATGACTAGTGACCCAGCTAGTACATGGAAGAGCTGGAATTCAAACCCAAATCTCTCTAATTCTGGAACCTGGGCTCCAGAACACAATGCTCTTTTGACAAGGGGGCCAAGAAGAGTCCAGGTCTTAGGTTCATTCCCATGCCTGCCCATGGATAGGGTCTGAGATAAGATTCTTTCTTATCATCAGGGAAATGCAAATCAAAATCACAATAAGTCACGCCAGTCAGAGTGGCCAAAATGAACAAATCAGGAGACTATAGATGCTGGAGAGGATGTGGAGAAACGGGAACCCTCTTGCACTGTTGGTGGGAATGCAAATTGGTGCAGCCGCTCTGGAAAGCAGTGTGGAGGTTCCTCAGAAAATTAAAAATAGACCTACCCTATGACCCAGCAATAGCACT